GATATACTTCTAGAGATCTTATCATCATGAGCTTGGATATTTTCTATTCTATATTTTAAGGTAGTCATATGTATTTGAAGCTTCTAGGAGCTTTTTTTCAACATATCTTAATATCTCTGAAGTTACCTTGTTCTAAATCCAAGTCTTTTATCTTGCTCAAAATCTGAATCTTATGTGTTGTTTGCAGACAATATTCTTTCTGTGGTTTGCTCTATCAGGTTGGCTGTTTCGAATTCTGATAATTGCAACATGGGTTCTACCATTTGCTGGACCTCTTCTTATTGGGGTTGTTGCCAACAATCTAGTCGTCAAGGTAACTTTATTTCTCAATACCCTTGTGCTTAGAAGTAATTATGTATGAATTGAACTGTTGTTTGACTGAGTTTATTAAGTAACATTACTGGTTGATCCAACTCCTCAATTAATAATAAAAATAATTCAGGTTTTGGAGAAAGAGGCAGTGTAGTAAAATTTTAAATGGATCTTTGGCTTGGACATTATTCTTTTGGTAGTTGCCTCTTAAGCTAATTGACAAGCTGATGTCATGACATGATAAGCTTATATTCGAAGTGTTATATAAGCCTGATATGATGTTTATGCCCTTTTGTGTGTGGGGTGGGCGGGTGTTGTTGTATTATTGCGTTGAGTCGAGCGTTTTGGCGGTTCAATCCCACAATTGATAAGGGGAAGAAAATGAGATGCTTTCTGTAACTTTAATCTAAAAAGATGTAGAATGTACCAAAATACTCTTTAATCTTGTGGTGTTAAACATGTCACATGAAAAGTTAAATTAAAGAATTACCATAAAAAAGGAAAGAGACATACTATTTGAAACGGACTATAAAAGAAAAATAAGACAAAAAATTTGAACGGAGGGAGTAATAAGTGTGTTACCATCATTAGACTGTATTTGTTCATTTTGAATGTTCTACAAGGGAAAAAGCTAATATAGCAATTAGCAGCAGAACACAACAAGTGGGATTTTCTTATAGGAGGAAGAAGTGCTAAGTTGTGGCTGCCTCCTACATCTTCCTCCACTACATACCAGTGTTGTGAAAAGCGTAAAACGCAAAAAAACTCTAAGGCCCATTGGGGTTTTAAGCACAAACAAAACACGGGCTTTAGTGAAAAAAGGGGGTAATAGAGAAAAAAATACAAATATTTATGTGTAGTCTTAAGACTACTAGGTATGATAAAAAATTCTCTAACAAATAGATGGACAAACAAATTGAAAAAATTATGATAAAATGAAACATCAATTATTTAGTGTCGCCTCTTTAGGTTTACGTTCATTAGCAAGGGAAAGTATGCCATATAGCCTTGATGACGACACTAAAGCGCTCAACATGTTTTGTGCCTCTCTTTAGGGCTTAAATGCACCTTCGATAACACTGTTACATACAGATAATTGGCACATTCTTGAGTCTTAATTCTATGCTTATGAGCTACATTGTGAGAAAATGCTGTGTTGCTACGATGACTAGTTTGCAGCTTTCATCCCATTGTCACACGTCTTGTTTATCCGTGCAGGGTCAGTGCCCATCTTGTAGGAGGCAATTTATCGGAAACAAGAATTCAACGGTTCGCTGTGCCAACTGTGGAAATGTTGTGTGGCAGCCGAAAGGAGACGACTTCTTTTCTAGAGGCAGTCGAGGAGGTTCCACTCCTTCAAAGTCCCAACCAGATATTATTGATGTTGAGTTTGAAGAAAAATAGGTATACACCGGAAAGCATGAACGTCATACGAAAGAGTAGAATATTGTATGATGACAGGTAAAACCCGAAGGCTATTCCCATCCCTGTCGCCGGTGATGCCAATCATCTGTCCTTTCTATGAACACAGAAACAGTAGAATGTTGTATAATGCTATCATTTTATTTTTCACTTTTTCTCCCCCCTTCAATGTATTTATTTTTTTGCTCTTCCCTGTTAGTGATTACAACTTTACTGGTTAGTTTGTGAAACTTTAATATATACATTTGGAATGGAAACTATAGTAGCTGCATTCTACTAATGATGTATGATTTTGGAGACTATCAACTCATTCTGTAATTCTGTTGATGAGAAAAAGTATAATGGGGTCAAATAAGTTACATATAATACCGACGAGAGGGAGTTGCTCAAATGGTAAGTACCACTCACTTTCAATCCGAAGGTTGCGAGTTCAAGTCACCAAGGGAGCAAAAGGGGTGGGAGCTCCTAGGGAGGGTAAAAAAAAAAAGTTACATATAATACCCTTGAATATGAGCTTAACTGACATTTATGTCTTTTAACTTTTTATGTGCACAAATAGACATTTAAATTTGTATAAAGTTGAACAAGTAACATTTATGTCTTGTATTTTAAAAAAAAAAATCAAACTTCAAGAAACAATTGTAGCTAAACTTGAAATACTTTGCTGATGTTAGATATATTTTAAATAGCGGTCCAAAAAGTGGTTACTGATGAACTTCAGCCATAATTATAGCAAGAAAAAAGGGCCAAATATTAAATACTACAACCCATATCTCCTGCAGCTGGCTTGAACATTCAATACCTTTTCTACCTCACCCTTAACTAGTGGTCTCAAGTTCGAGTCTCGAATATGGAGAAAATCTAGCTGAAAACGTTATTTTTGAATCGGCCCTGTAGTGCACGATTCAGATTTAGTAGGTAAATTTTTTTTGTTCTTTCTTGATTTGTCGAAATAGACAAGTAAAAAAAGAAAATTGAACAAGTAATTAGGAACAAAGAGAATGTTTACTTAAGAGAGATGTAAGTAAAAAAACACGATAAGTATTTTGAGACGGAAAAGTAGTACAGAGTGCTTATGGGTGTCAGTGTTTTCCATCGTTCAGTACATTGAGTCAGAAAATTTTCAGACATGCTCCAAAACCAAACCAATGAAATACTAACAATTATAATAAATTAGTACTAATAGTGACCAAGCTGTCATGCATGTCTTCAAAATATTGAATTATTATCATACTCCATTAATGTACCTACATTTGTGACAGGTGACTTTTTCAAGATTCCAAGATCATGACATTACTGATTATGTTGGTTGTGACTTACTATGTTGTAAGGACAAACTCCTTCTGTCCCTAATTACTCGTTCACTTTTAAAATGATATATCTATTAAGAAAATAATTATTAATATAGTGAGTTTATCATTTTAACCCTATTAATTATGAAGTGAATGAATTAAAATTTAAGATTTTCAAAAAGTTTTACATTTTTCAAAGTAATTAATTGAGGATATAATAGGTAAATTTTTTTATACTTTCTTGATTTGTCAAAATGGACAAGTAATTAGGGACAACTATAAAAGAAAAAATGAACAAGTAATTAAGGACATAGAGAGTATCTTGCTAGTATCTAATACTCACACATTTGTTTGTCTTCTCTTGTTGAAATCATATTATGACAACGAATACTGATTACTTGAAACAGAACAGCAGTTTGTTCGTACCTCGGTTATTTCACCATTAGATACTTGTTACTTGTGTAGACCAGCTAATTCGTATCTCAACCATATGACCATAGGATACATGTTACTTGTACGGATAGGCTTGTCTTTATCTCAACCAATTCACCGTTAGATACATGAATACTTATACGAACCAGCTTGTTCGTACAAGATCCTCGTCTATTTCATCATCGGATTACTTGTTACGACTGTCACTAGTACCTACAAGCTTGTTTGTATATCCTATACTATTTCACCGTTCGATATATGTTACTTGTACGAATCAATTTATTCGTACCTCAACTATTTCACCACCTGATATACATCACTTATGCATATCAGATTATCTATATCTTAATTAATTCACCGATACATATTACTTCTCATCAACATAAATTCCAAGGAAGTAGATGCTAATATTTTTTTATATATAATTTTCACTCACTTCATTTACCGTTCCACCTTTGTGCAATAAAAGGCTAAATGATTGAACATAAGCAACAGAGAAAATTAGTCAAAAGTGATTAATTAAATTAATGTTAGAGGAATTAGAATACTCTAAACTTCTTGTCCTATATACACAATTACACATACTTCATGAAAAGGACCACTAGAAACAGTGGTGCTTTATGGTTTTTCTGCAATTACTATTTCCAAGAATTGAATGGAGCCCCATAAATTAACACCAACCAGGTCCATCATAATATATAATGAAAAAAATCTGCCTTTATAATTATGTTGTTGAGATTTTATAAAATTTCTACGGAATTATGTTGTTCAAACTCTTTAAAATTATTAGTATGTGTCGGATTCTTTGAAACCCATTCATTCAATAGAACTGACATGAGAGTGACAATATTTTTTAAAGAGTCCCACTCGTATGTTGCTCACACTCTTAAGAATACTATTAGTGTGTCAACCGTCGAATCATTCTAAACTTATAGTATATTTTTAGAGGATTCGATATGGATGTAATAATATTTTTGGAGAGTCTGATACCAGATGTAAAAGCATTCGACACATTTGTTGCTCCGACTCTTAAAAATATCATTGAATGTGTGTTGGACCATTTAAAATCTATGTTATTTTAAGAAAACTGATATGAATGCAAGAATATTTTTGAAGGGCTCAACACGTATTGCAATACTTGTATAAGAGTAAAAGCGGCACAATGCACTAAACTCCCACTATATGCAGACTTCGAGAAAAAACCAGACCACATAAGTTGTACCTAATATTTGTGCAAGCAATTGTTTCCGCTGTGAGTAGTGAGTATTCACCAAAAAAAAAAAGTGAGCATCTCACTTTTGGATACATAAAGTGTCTTTGGATGCTGATCTTTGTCAGCAAGCAAGAATCTGACTAATTCTGGGAGGCCCCATGAACTCTTAACAGTGATTTTACAACATCATGAACCAAGCACAAAAGTTTGACACTACAAAAAAGGTGATATTCTTGTTTTAAACGGACTAAAAACGAAAGTAACATAAACAAATTGAAACGGGGAGAGTAACTCGTAAAGATCTCAAAGAATTGAAAGACAAATGACAATGAGTGGAAAATTTGTTCTTCATCAAGGGTCAAGCAAAAAGCCTATTTTGTACTACAAATTGAAAAACTTTTCCAGTGGAAAATGAGAAAACATTGCATAAAGCAGCAAACAAAAATATTGGACTACTGTACAATTCCCCTTGTGTTAGGTAACAACACAAATGAGAACTCAAAATACCAAAAAACACAAGAGGTGAAAATTGCATTGTTGCCAATGCCTTTGTGTCCTCTCATTTTCATTGTTGTGTAGGCTCAATATCCTTAAGCAGTCCAACTACTTGATGCATACTTGGTCGTTTCGCGGGAACTTCAGCTGTGCATAGATAACCGATTTTCAAGGCTTCTAGTATTTGTGTCTGTGATGCAGTTCCACGAATTTTTGGATCGATAACTCTTGATCCCTCGTTGTTCCTTACTAATCCTCTAACCCAACCAACCAAATTCGCATCATTGTGTTGTGGATAATCATCTTCAACTGGTTTTTTCCCGGTAATTAGCTCGAAAAGGATGACTCCAAATCCATACACATCTGACTTTGGTGTAGGATATTTAGGTGAGCTGCTCTCTGGATGAAGAAATTCTGGGGGAATGTATCCAGGTGAACCGCGAGTGATCTCATCCTCGGGTCCCGTGCCAAAGATTTTGGCCAATCCGAAATCGGATAGTCTAGGCTCCAAGTTCATATCAAGATAAACACTGCTGGCTTTGACATCTCTATGTATAATGGGAGGTGAACAACCATGGTGTAGAAATGCAAGTGCTCTAGCAGTGCCAAGCGCGATTTTGTGCCTAAATCTCCAAGTGGTTAACAATCCTTCAGAACCAACATTCTGAATACTGTTATTATCATCCTCCTCTTCCCACGTGTCCGTGCTCCAGTCTTCAGTAGTAGTTCGAACCCCGAGTGGCAAGTCATGAAGCAAGTTCTGCAAATTCCCGTTCTCCATGTAATCATAAATGGCAATTCTTTGCTCACCAGCCAAGCAGTATCCTGTCAATGGAACAAGATTAGGATGTTTTATCCGGCCAAGATACTCGAGCTCTCTTGCAGCTTCATGGTCTGTCATAGTGGAACCATGAACAAGAACTTTCACTGCCACATGAATGCCACCTGGTAAAAAGCCTCTATAAACAGGACCAAACCTCCCTTCAGCTAACAATGTGCCTCGATCGAAATTAGAAGTTGCAGATAAGAGATCTGCAAATGTGAAATTCAACAGTGGCTTCTCGAAAATCACAACAGGCACTGAGTTTGCTTGCTTAACATCAGCAACCCAAGTTGTTGAATCAGTCTGGAATGAAAAAGGACCAGAAATAGTCTGTTCTTCCTTGTAAGAGTTCTGTTTAACCGCCCATATCGTGGTTTTCCTTCGACAACCAAATGCCAAGAACAGTAAACCAAGAAGCAGAAAAACCATAGAGAAAGTTAATGCCAAAGCAAGTTTAAGTCCTCTGTGTTTCGGAGCTTTCTTGTGGAAGAGAGCTGGGTTGGCAGCAATAGGACATCCATTTGATGACCCGATAAACGCCGAAAGGAGTGTTTTAGGGGAGAATTCAGTAGCACAAAGAGTTAGATTGTTGTAAGAAAAATTGAACCTTTCCATCCTTGGAAGTATCTCTACAAGTGGCAATGGGATATCACCAGTCAAATTGTTGTATGAAACATCAAGAACCAGGAGATTTCTATTGCTCAGCGGAGGAATGCGTTTACTAAGATGGTTTTTGGATATATCAAGGATTTTCAAGCGACTCAACGACGAGAGCTCTTGAGGAATTTGGCCAATCAAACTAGTTCCAGACAAATTCAGATACTCTAAGCTAGATAACATATCAGTTTGTGGAAATTCTTGATGTGAAAATCTATTATCTGCAAGATTAAGGTATAGAAGATTTCGAGCATTCTTTAATTCTCTAATGATCCCTCCACTAAGGTGATTCTCAGATAAATCAAGATAAACCAAATGAGACCAATTGAAGCTGGAACTGAAGTTTACCTGAGAAATGTGACCATCAAACTGGTTTCTACTCAAATCAATCACTTCCAATGGCCCCTCAAAAAGACCAACAACAGAACCCTTAAACAGATTGCCTGAAATATTGATATGAGTGATTGAACCCATTCTTGAAAAATCTGAATCTTTACCAAGAATCTCATTTTCTGCAAGATTCAAGAACTTGAGCTTGTGAAATGTAGAACCAAAATCATTAGGAAAACCAGTGAGTCTGTTTTCTGAAAGATCAAGGGATTCCAAAGAATGACAGCCCAAAATTCCAGAAGGGATTTCTGAATCAAACAAGTTCTTACTAAGATTAAGAGAATGCAAACTTGAAAGGGAGCTAATGGCATCTGGGATTTTCCCAGAGAAATTGTTGACAGAAAAGTCCATGATTTCAAGACCACCAAAATTGCCTATGTTACTTGAAAGGTCACCAGAGATATGGTTATGTGAGAGGTTAAGGTACTTTAGTGAACCTAAACTCCATATATCAGAAGGCAAACCAGTGAGTTTATTGTTGCTCAGATCCAAATACTTCAGCTTTGTGAGTTTACCAATGGTGTTATCAGGAATCACACCAGATAAACCAAAACTTTTAGCTGTCAAATTAACAACATTTTCATCCTTGGAATCACATCCCACCCCTTTCCAAGAACAAAAGTGAGCTGAAAAGTTGTGAACTTTAGCAACCCCCATCTTTTGAAGAAAATCAGACACAAAAAATCCATCAGTGTTTGGCTGTTGGCAAAGCAAAGGCCTAAAGAACACAGTCAAAAGCAGAAAAGAACCAAGAATGCCTATTCCCATTTGTAGATAAGGCTTCAACTATAAAACTCAAGAGTGTAAAAGAAAGAAGCAAAACCCTCCAAACAACTCCAAAAATCTCCCTTTTTCAGAACTCCAACACCATTTTTACCACAACCCCACAAAGCCAAAAGTTCAAGAAGAGTACACTATTGACTAAGAAAGCATAAAAATCAAATCTTTCTTGTGAGAAAATGAGAAAGATAAGACTTCAACTGTAAAACTCAAGAGAGAAAAAGAAAGAAGCAAAAAAAAATCCCTCCAAAAACCTCCCTTTTTTCAGAACTTTAACACCATTTTTGACACATAAAAGTTGTTCTACTTTCCAAGAATCAGCAAAACAAACACTTTCAGCAGAACCCCACAAAGCCAAAAGTTCAAGAAGTATACACAATTGGCTCAAAATGCATAAAAATCCAATCTTTCTTTAGAAAAATGAAAAACAGCAGCTCAGAAGATAATGGAATTTCAGAGGACAACTAAGATTTTTGGGGTTTCTGGAAGAAAGAATGAATAATGTGAACTTACCTTGTCTGACCTCTGCATGAAAAAGCCAACAAAGAAAACAACACCAAAACATAAATGCTTTGTCTCTGTGTTTTCAACTAGACAAAAGAAAGTTCAAATTTTTTATCATAAAAAATGAAAAAAAACACAACCAGGAGAGCCTAATGAAGCTAGTAAAAATCAAGAAACTTTATGGTAAAAATTGACAGTGTTTATGTGTTATGGTCAAATATTTGGGGGTTCATAAATGAGAAATTTTTGGGTTGGTGAAGTTTTGGAGTAAAGGTGTTGGATGAGAATTCAATGATTCTGCATTATGTTCATTCATTCATATCATCATTTTACTTCATAGCAAGTGGTAATACATACTTATGATCCTCTTGAGTCTTAAGTATTATTAATACTATATTCTAAAGAAAATAAAGTAATTACTTTTGGCTACTTTAAATCAATATTTATTTCATTGAAAATTTGTATGTAGTTACCTTATAGGTGATATGACTATTTATATATTCGAGAACATAGCGGACGTAGAGCTTATTATTATTTCGTAGAGGTAGAGAATATTGATTTTGAAACACTTTTGGTTCAAGTGCAGCAAAATTCAAATACAAATAAAAATTGCAATAAGACAACAAGATGCAATCACCAAACACAAAATTAAAAGATTTAAATTATACAAAAATATTATAGGTTATAGGAGAATTTTTTTTAATATCTACATGTTGAAAAATGTATTTTATAATATTGATCAGAATTCACATAATTTAATTTGGAATGGGGAGTATTTTTTTTTACACTATTTTTTATTATATAAAAAACTTTAAACTCTAAATTAAAATAGTAAATAATGGAAATCAAACTTTAAATAAATGGTCTTATCACTTTATGAACACTTTTGTCATAGAGTTAAAAAAAAATAAGAACAAAAGACTTTCTAATATTAAAAGAAGAGTTTTACCTAAACTTATTTATGGCTATTTAACAAGGAGAGATTTTCAATATTTCTTTACTAATTTTGGTCTTATATTCTTTTTGACCTTTTTATTTTTTATTTTGTACTTCAAATTTTGGAAGATCTATAGCGAGCAATAATTGTGGAAATTTTGATTATTATTATCTTTTTGTTTGGATATTTTAGTATTTGATGTAATTTAAACAATTCCGTGAATAATTGCTTAAATTTTGCTTCTTACGTACCCTATAATAGTGGAGTAGCTTATTATAAAATTTATACTTTACTTCCAATAAAATAAAATAAATTATACTTTACTTTTTTATATTATATTTATAATTATATTTTATTTTGTTCAAACTATTCATTCATCTCATATTATTTATCGCGAATTTTAGAAATAGACAATATTAATTATTTTGTTCTCGTTTTATTTTTAGTGATAATTGTTCTTAAACTACAAACATCTCACTAACATAAATATTTAATAAAAACATGTTATATTTGGGATATAAATGAGATTAAATTAGTCCAAATAACTTCTTCTAATTATTTTTAAAAAAAAAACTAAAAAAAACACGATAGATAATTTAATACTTTCTAAATAACATTATGAGTCATGGGATACGTGTGATATGCAAACAAACACAATGCTGATCAGTTCATCCAACTACATCACTAAATGCATCTTCATGTGTATTTTCTTTATGTGTTTTGTCATTTTATTCAAATATCCTTCAAAGGCCTATATGATTAAAATAATACAATTAATTTTCAGTTTATAAAATTATATAAAAATAACAAAGTTAACCAATTTTATTGGATTGTCAACTTACCACTATAAGTAACTTTAAGATTTCGAATTTAAAATTAGTGGGTTCAATTGAAACAAGCAAATAAAATTGTAGTTTTACTGTAACCCTTTCATTATTTAGATTTGGAAGATCATATCATAAGATTGAGATGTAATTTTATTTTTAATATGGTGTTATTAATTACCTTTATGACAGAAAATAGTAGGAATTAGTTAAAGGTAATTTCTACTATTGATGACCAACACTACACCTAATTCAAGAATTTTTTTTTGTTTAATATAATAACTCAAACTAAAATGGTAGTATATATATATATATACATATAACTAAATTTTATCCAAGAAAAGCAAATAAATCAATGAATTAAAATGATCTCCTTATTTGGCTCTTTAATCAAACTACAATGTAATTGATATCTAATTACCATATATTTCCTAATAATTAATTACTTCTCCCACAAGTTTAATCCCATGCAATTAGTAAATGAAATCATTATCTTAATTTTCCTTTTTCATTTTACTTCACATTTTCATTTAATCAATTAAGATATTCTCTGCCTTTCCTTCCTGTAATAATCCAATTAAAAAAAATCTAGTGAAATGCATTATCAAACACAAATTTAACTTCATTTTATTTTTTTAAAGTTTAATCAAAATTTATGTCCAAACGTGTACGAAGAAAGAAAGTGAAAATTTCATGAGGTATTTATTCGTCATTATTGTTTAACTTATATTTTGAAGCAACTTCAAACATGAGGTGTCAAATATGAATTTAAGTTCGAGCATTTTTTTGTGAAGTTTAAGCAAAAATAATTAAATTTTAGTCATATATATAATTGATATGTAGTCATATATAGCTAAAATTCAGATAAAATAACTTAATTCAACCACATACCAGTCGTAATTGATATGATTCACAAAAATAATTGAACTTTAATCATACTTAAACTTTAATCATATTAATTGCATATCTATAATCAAATCCAAAGTAAATAGATTTATATGTTTTTTATGCACCATAAATATAACTCAAATAGTGATATCAAAATCCAGTATTTTATTCAGTGCTTGATATTTATATTGGAGTTTGATTAATTTGAATTCACATCAGTAAATTTAGGGGTTTAATCTCTCCCTAACAAACACGACTCTATATTCAGAGGGATTAGAACCTGAAACATCTAATTAAAAATGAAGGAGTACATATGGAGCTCGATTAAATTCAGACTCGCTCCTGAAAGTATAGGGGTTATATCTCTCCCGAACAAAGACGACTTTGTATCCAAGGAGATTTGAACCCGAGACCTCTAATTAAAAATGAAGAAGTACTTACCAATCCACTAAGGAAACACATTAACTAATTAATTAAATTAAGAGAAGAAAACTAATAATTTAAACTCATAATTTGGCTGTTTTTGTACCCAACCCACTGACTATGTATGACACTGTTTTGGTCTACAAAATATTCTCTGAATTTTGACTGACACATAAATAAAAACTATTTTTAATTCCTGTTTGTTTGAAAAATTTAACTCATTAAATACTATAAAAAATATTAGTTGAGTGTAAAATGAATTAATATATCAATTGATGAATATTGAATTTTACCTAATTATCTATAATATGATAATAACTTTTTTTTATGCCAACTATTTTTTTTGGAGGAATATTAGACAGATTATATTTGGAATATAACTACTGGAATAGGTTGCTGTCTAAATATTTTATGTAAAATAAAACGAAAAAAAAAAGCAAGGAAATATAATGTTGAATATCAAGTTGTCAAATTTATACCTTAATTTGGTCGGGAGCTAAGAGAGATTGGAAAGGTTTAAATAAGAGTGTGCCTAATGGACTTATTTTTTAAAAATAATAACAATGTACTCAATGTAATTCCACAAATAAAGTCTGAAAAAGATGGTTCGTACGTAATTTTATTCTTATCTTATGAAGGATAGATACTTTGTTTCCAATAGATTCTCCCGCTTGCTTTGCAGCACGATCCTCATACAGAGTCGAACTCAACTTAATTAAGGCATAACAAAATCATTATAAAAAAGAAGGTATTAGTAAAAAAATAGTGTTAAAAATAATGGAGAAATAATAATAATAATCATTATATATAATAAAATAATTATAAAAATGAAAATAACAAGTAATTGACTTATTTTTTGCTATTCTATATAATTTAAGGTTCAACTAATAATTTAATTTGATGTGACGGATTTATCCTCATGTGAGGTTTTACAATTGATCTACAAACAACAACCTAAGAACTAAATTTTTTATTTTTTTTTAATATAAAAAGAAACAGATCAATTCTTTATAGTATGAACACAAAATACATTTTCTTCTATGTCGTTTTTTTTCTAATTATAAAATGAATGGTGGAAAAAGGCTTTTCTTTTTTTTTTTCTTTTTAAAAAAAGACAAAAAGGAGAAAATATGGGTGAGAATTGTACTTTTATTGACTTTAGTTCCAAAAGAAAATGTCCCCCAACTCTATGTAGGGTGAAGTTAGTGACGTAGTGAGAAATTTTAATAAATAGATTTAAAATATAAAAAAATAAATACATAAAAAATTAACAAAATTTAATATTTACTATATAATAATAATAATTTTAATATTACATATTTAACTTATTAACAATGAGATTCAGATTAAATCCCTTGTGCACCCTAACTTGATCCTCGGTGTGACTTAGTAGTCATGAAGTCAATGCAAACAATAGATGTTAAGTGTAGAGCTATAACTTTGCCTATGGTTCGATACAGTTAATAGGTTTATCTCAACTTACACTTGTATTTTTTTTAAAAATCACGTTATATATACAGATAACTTATCAAGAACTCAATAAGCTGTATTTCTAAAATTCTAAATTTATAAATTTAAAATTGTAGCTTCGCTTCCGATCTTAATGAAGACAGAATATTAATTGATTTCCTCGTATTCATATAAATTTTGATGGATAAAATTATTCGATATTTGTATTGGTCGGAAAAGTCTCCCCACTTTCCAAAATCTTCTTGATGTTCTATTAATGGGAAGATGGTGCTCTCTTTTTTCACCTCAAATAGTAAACTTTGTGATAAGGACTTAGCCACATTGTGGGCTAAAAGGGGACCACTTATTATAAAAGTCATTAACTTTGTGGGCCAAATTAGTCAAAAGAGCAAGTTTTGTGGTATATTTGTCACATCATCAAGTTAGGGATTGTGATTTGTAAGTAATGTTTGTTGTTCAAACATCATAGGTTTAGGTTAATATCAACATTTTTGAACTTTATTTTGTTCTCTAATGTATTTAGTCTTTGATTTATTTGAGTTGTTTTGGACCCCACAAGCCTAATCATTCCACAAATGTCTTTTTAAAATCTTGACTATTGGTTTCATAATTGGTAGTTTAGTCCAATAAAAATGTTTTTTTTTAAAAATAATTAGTGGACATTAGTCACATTCTACAAATAAAAAAATAATTGTAGTATGAGGAGAGTTAAGAGTACTACTTACCTACGATTCTATTTAGTAAATTTTTTTATTAAAATTCAATTAATCAAGATGAGGCACATGAGGTCGATCCATGTTGATTCAACTCAATAATCAAGTATAACACACATAATAAATTTAG